CAAAAGAAAATAAAAATTTAACATGGGCCTTCCTTCTCAACCTCTTACACTTCTCCTGATAATCTAAGATGCCTGCTCAACAAATTTGTGTACATTTGATTGTGTCTCATCATCTTGGTGAGAGACATCCTGAGAAGGAATCAGTTACCATCAATAGTCAAGCCAACATTTCAACAACCTTGGCAGAAGTCATCATGAGGGTCAATTCAGCCACTACTATCTACAACTGTATGGTCCTTTTCAGGGATGCTCTCACCTGGATGATCAGGGTACATGGTCATCTGTTACTCTTAGGTTCCAGCAAACCATTTGTTGCATAGCTTTTGTACAGAAAGAAGTGCACAAAACCTACAGCTTAGACCATCTTTTTTATTACAAGACCCTTACCTTTTCATTAAAGCCTTTACTGGAAGTTCCCAGACCAAAGCTTTGTGCAATGTCATGAACTTGTTTCCGCTGCGATTTTTCAAGATCTGGTGGAAATTGCAACTCAGCACCCTGGTCTTTCCAACCTATTTCTCGAAACCACTATGAAAAAATTAAAACGGGCTATTGAAACCCACATGGACAGAGCTGAAATTTAGCCTTGAAAGCAACACTTTGATAACTTGATTCAACCTGATTAAATTATTGGTTTTCAAATTATGACTGATGCAGTTTTTTCACAAGTTTCTAATCAACCATCAAAAGGCACAATCTGTCACATAAATAAATCTTTCACTAATTAAGTATCCTAAACTTTGAAATTATCACCAATTGTACTGAATAACTTCCTTGGTTTTTCACTCCTGGCAAAAAGCCTAACGATGGCAGTGTGTTTTTAAATGATAATTGAAAGCCACAGATTTTTTTCACTGTGTGGGTCAACTTACCAGCATCAATTTTCGCAGTTCCCTTTCTTTAAAAGGAAATTCAAACTGCTGAATGTTTGAGTTACTCTCATCCTTGCCTGTTATTTCAGGAAACGGAAGACCTGAAAATCAATTTCACATGCTGTATAAATTTTGAAAAGTTGTAATAGAGACAAACTATTTTCAATGTTTGAATGATAAAAATCTTCTTTGTACCTGGATGCTGCTCTGTGGAAAAATTTATGAGCATGTAGGGGGAAAAAGGAATGTGTAGGGGAAAGAGTGTTGATCTTACTTCTTCCACTCATGCCTCAAACTCATCACTAGTCCCTGGTTCCTCAGAGAAAGATGTGAAATGTCCAAGAAGAAAGCTGATAGAACTCCTTCCTTAAGAGCAGATTTTTTTTTCCTTTATGTTAATTGCACAATGATTTCAATTGTGTTTATGAAAAATACTCTTTTTATAATAATTTATTTCATTACAATGGGATACTCTTTTACTGGGTGACCAGAGTTAACTGTTAAAGACCACAAACAAAAACTGTTCATAACAATTGTCAACGATTATATCGATTCTGAGGGTTGAGAAAAAGTATAGGCTGGGATAATAACAAGATAAGCTACATGAATACCTTTGTTCACCTTCATGAAAATGTAGACAGTTCCTGGTAATGGATTTTTTAAAATTAAAATTTGAATATAGTATAATTACACTTTATGCCAGATAAAATAACAAGTACATACAGCATACTGAGATTTGTCAAAATTGTTGATGTAAACTGTAAAGCAATAACACTATTGCAAAATTACTTTTTCTGACTTAGACTCACTGTAATTATTTTTTGACCCCAGTTTCACAGTAAAAATCGAATCTTGAACAAGGTCATCTAATCTCCTTGTTGACTCTGCTGCTGCTCCTGCTGATCCTTTACTCTTAGACAAAGGAGGAACATATCGCTTACTAGTGGCCATGATCTTCTTAAACCTAGGGAAATGGCCTAAGTAAGAAAGAAATCTGACTGAATACAGAATGGACTAAGATTTTGTTTCTGGAGAAAAGGCAATAAATATTTACTAGATTAAAATATAACAGGATTCATACATTCACCTGTTTGCACCAAACCTCTCACAGAGCTCAGTTTTGAGGTTTGTTGGTTCAGAGCACAAGAAAAATGAAATTTTTTGTTGGAGAACAGAAAATTTCTTATTTTCTAAGTATACTGTGTCCAAAGACACCTTTCTTTACCTAGAGGTTTTGGGAAGGGAATTGATTCCACAAGGTACACCTGTAAAGTGATTTGAGGTAGTTGAGGATATGAAAGCTAGTAAAAAGGTTATTAATATTAATTTAAGTCACTCATAAACCAAATTATTTTTGTGTCTTCCCTCTATCAAACAACATTTATTTGGCAAAAAAAAAATTTTTCAGTGGCTTACTGTGTTCTTACCAAAGATAAGAAGTATCCTTTGGGTAAAAATTGTTGATAATATTGAACCATGTCCTAACTATTGGGCCTACTTTTCAAGGCAGAATATACCCGTAAAATATGGCTTTTCCATAATGGTCTCGAAAAAATTAATGGAGTATCACATCATTTACATGTATTGGGTTGGTAAAATCGTTAAGATATCACACCAACCGTAAAAATAAAAACAAACAATAAAAACATTAATAAAATAAGTAAATGAATAAAATACAGATATATCAAGATAGAAAATAATAGAAGTTAAATTAAGAAAACTATATAAACTATATACAACTATCATCTAAGAAAAGCTGATAACCTACATTTAAAATTTTCTAAGGAGGTTGATGAAATAATGGCCTCAGGGAGGCAATTCCAGTCCCCTATAGCTTTTGGTAAAAAAGAGAATTTAAAAACGTCTTTATTTGCATACGGCACGCGAAATTGAAATCGATGGCTTACCTAAGCCCCGTGTGACTCTCGGAATGTTGAATCAAATATTCTCGGCTATCTTCATCACTAAGACCATGAGTTAGTTTGTATATAAGTGTTAAACTAGACTGCCTTCTTCTCCTTTCCAGCCTGGCCCAAGAAAAAATTGAAAAAATTAATGATAATTCATAACAATTCAATCACTATTCAATTCAGCGCCACATTTGCACAAAGAGAATTAGATCGCTGCGTCATACGAGCAAGTTGTTATCTGTTTCTTGCAGTTCAGCAACACCTTGTTAAAAAGAACGTCCACTTATAAAAGGAACACTCACCGAGTACACTGCCGAAGCTCTTGAGGGACGTCAAAACGAGTAAAAGACACAATCACCTTCAACTTCCGTCATGACAGGAGCAGAAATGAACAGGCGTTGCGCGGGAATGTAACGCCTAAAGGGGAGTGGTACCTAGTTGTTATTTTCATTACATGAAAAAAGGTATCCTGAAAATAGGGTTGATCTGCACATCGAGTAAAATTTGAACAAAAATTTTGTTTATTCGAAGAGAGAGCATTTTACTATTTCAATCAGCGACTAATGCCCAAATAAGCTGCTAAGTTAGCCAAGCGAGCAAAGTCCGAAACACGATACCTTGAGTTCAACAGGGTGACCCTATTTGATGATGGCATAATGGAATAGCGCAATGGCGGAATATCCTACAACGTGGAATGCCTTGATGCACGAAATTTAGGTCTTTCAAAAATAGAATTGCTGATTGAATAAGAAAATTATTTATGATTAACAGACAAAATGAAAGAAAGCATAGTTAATTCATTTTTGGATCCTAGTGGATAAACCGACAGAGGAACAGTCAGGTTCTTGAGCTAGCCCCTATAGGTTATCATTACTATTACTATTGTTATAAATATTATCATTATTATTGTTAGCATGAGCATTTGTTACCATTTAATTATTGGTTGAGTGTCAGTTAGTCACTATATTGGCGACGTAATTTATTCTTGAATCATCTTCCTCATGTGGAACAGGGTACTCATATATATGTAAGATGCGGCAGGTATTTATGTTTTGATACAAATCCTCTGCAACACAAATTTCTAGTATCATTATTCTGGTTCTTTTTAATACTCTAAAAATTGTCCTGTATATTAGTAACCACATGCAGCCTTGCCTATTTTTTTGTCTCGTCTTTTTTTATGAAATCACGGCCTCGATGCAATACAAAGTACGTCAGGATAAGAATGGCTGAGAAACAATTTCAACTTCTTATGAATTTGTTAAAAAAAAAGTGCTGACGGCAAAAATACTTTGCAATTTCCCGGGGTCAGGATGGGGGACTCCCATAGAGAGAAAGTGTTAGAAGTAAAATCTCTAACATTCGTCGTTTGTTTGGTTGATTCTTATTTAATTTCTTTTCTTTTCAAGTTGTTACAACGGGGACTAACTTCTATCTAATGAGAAAAGCGAGGGTCACCGTTTATAAAGGTGACACTGCAGATGACACTACTAAGCTGTCAATCTTCTTGTATCGTCATCGTTCCATCTCAGGCAGCGAATCATGTTAGATTACGTATGACAGTTCCTGCTTACTAGGTATGCGCCTTTGAGTTATTTGCGCAGTTACAAAATCATGTTCTACCTTAAATTTCTTATTCTTACAGTTGAGATCGGCCAGAACAGAAACGAGATTGGTAATATAAAAATCATAACTAACCTACTGACAGAATATTATTCACATCTAAAGGGATATCTTAAGAGAAAATTGCCTTAGAAGACCGTTTCATAACAACATCATGATTACAAAAGTTGGCGAAGAAGGGGCGTTCACAAGTACCGCATCCAAGTTGCTACGTGCTAGTCATAATAACTATCTAATTGCGAAACATGAAGGGTATCACATGTTTACACCTTTAAGAACGAGAGGTGTCGAACGTGACCTTTTACCAGAGAGATTCACTCTTCCTGGATTAACAAATTAACTTAATTAATAACATAGCTTTCCCAAGACACTATCACGAGTTCTAATAACCATAGAAACTTAACAACTGTTTCCATGTCAACTTCACGATCATAACGAGGAAAACGTGACCAAACTCTGCCTTTAAGATAAGACTTCCAAAAGGAATAAGAAGTAATCAACCTGCTTTTTGATAATTTTTTTTAAGGAATGGTTTAAAGTAAAATAATATTTCCATTCCTTTCCCCGAAACCAATATAAGGAAACCCTTTCGATATTTCAGATTAAATATAGTTGTATTTTTATCGTTTAACAAAAGCATACATGCTTGTAGATAAATGTGGCGAGAAGGACTAGCAAAAGGAGCCTCTAGCACTGGAAAAGATTTGTGTCTTGTAGATCTACGGATTCGAGTGTTTTTGCCGCCAGAATCATATGGTTTCTATGTTGTTGACTTCACTCAAAAGAGTTCTACGGAACCCATTTGTGTTCACGTTCTCAGATCACGAAAAACTCTCCTTACACCATTAAAAAATAACTGTCACTTTTTCATAGAAGCTTAAATAAGCGTCTAGCTACCATTGTAAAAATAGTAACATCATCGTTAATATTAACCCTAAACCGTTAGCTTAATTTCGTCACACAGGAAAAGTTACCATAACTTATGTCCAAACGAATAATTGAAATTGGAATGGCAACGTGTCTCTGAGCGATCAACGCTTTTTAGCATCTTCTCGCCCCAACCTGTTCGCGTTCATGGTGGCGGTGGTCTCCTGCTTTGACCTGGTATCTCCAATATGCCAGTTACCATCGGGGTTCTTTTTGACGCGAACTCTCTTGTACTGCTCCCTCATTGCACTAAAAGCTGCTGCAGTTTGAGCATCAGACTTTCTAGTGGCCTCGCGGTTGGCCTCTCGATGTGCTGCAAGGTTTCCTCCTATCTCGTTTGCTTGGCGCATTTTTGTATAGCTGTTTTTGAATTCATTTGCAGCCCGGATCGTTTTCTTGGGTTCCTTCGCCATCTTCCTGGCAAGAGTACCAACACCTTGAAATATAAATATGCCACAAATTTGCATCATGATATAACTGTATTGTAAGCCGTATTTGAGCAGTATTCAAAACCTATTTATTACCTGTTCTGTGACCAGTTTCATCTCTCTCCCGTACGCCGATTTTTCCGACGTTTACTGTCTTTTCTGTGGTTGTTTTTCCCCTGAAAACAGCAGGAAAAATGATTAAAAAAGAAACTTTCGATGAGCTTATGTTCATGCCACTTTGTATTCCTGTCTTAATCACTTCATGTTTGTCACAGTCATAGGACTCCTGCGCAAGTTGCCCGAAGGTGAAACGATATTCGAGGTTTGAGAGGCCAGTCAAAATGCTATCAACTGTTTAAGTATATACTAATAATTGCTTCTGTTTGCTAAGTATTTATATTTTATTTCCCACATATTGAAATCGAAACATTACTGATTTTGTTGCTATGCGGTATTTTTGGCCTTTAGCCCAATTTCGTGTTCGTTCCTGTAGCAGTTCGTGAGCATACTTTGGACAAGATACATTTATAGTCGTATTTAAAATGAGTTGTGTTGGAAACCACAGAACCGCCCCCAAACGTTTGTGTAATTTCGTACACTCTTTTCCCCAGTATTGGCGCATAGAATTGTAATGAATAAACCATTTTCTATCGAGCAGTTCAGTGGAATGATCGCTTTGGAAGCCAGAGGTAAAAATCAAACTCGTGACACTCATCTCCGAGCTAACGTCGTGAGACTCTCATCCTTACTGACGGCCCTTGAATAGCACTTGAAGCGAAACAAATAATTTAAGTCTATTTCGTGTTTAGAATGAAACCAGTGAGCACCGATTCGAAACCTTTTCTGCGGAAACTGTTTAAAAACTGGCAGTAAAGAGTTAAATCCGCCTTTACTGGGTTTTGTTGAGTTATTGAAAGGATTGATTTCCCTCTAACACAGTAAATTACGATAAAAAGAATCTCATTTTATTTGGATTTATTTTTTAACATACAATCTACGTAACATAAAACTAACTCATATTTATAATGTATGCATCAAGTTGTCAATGAAGAACTATATCAACATTCACTGTTTATCATCTCATTTTTTGTATCCTATAATAATATCATATCACTTTTAAATCATACCCCCATTTTTTGGATCTATTTTTTAACATACAATTTAAATAGAATACAATTAACTTATATATTCACAACAACATAATGTATACATCAAATTACCAAATGAATGAACAATTATATCAACATTCACTGCATTGACAACTTTCAATTTTTATCTATACATATCTCATCCTTTGTATAATAGTTACATATATCATTCCCTGATCATACCCCATACCATTCAATGACTTTTACAATCTGCAACAAAGCAGTTTTTCTACATCAATGAATTAACAGCATGCCAATTGCAACCCCTAGTCCTTTCCTATGATCTCTTCTCTAGCTGAGCAATCCAGTACTTCTCTGTTCACAAACATGATTGAAAGGGGAATGCTCAATTTTGAATCATGCAAAAATAGCTTAATTTTGTTGCAAATTGAAGCCTTCAAGTACTAGTACATAATTCGGCCCCATTCAGTTATTTATCCTAACCTCGAGCTCTGCAACTGAAATTAAATTTGTCAGTCCTGCAATCAGTATAGTATGAACAGGGTTCAACCAGTTCCAGAAGAGTACTTCCTCCTGACAGCTTTGTTAACAGCATGTTTCCAATGAAGGTTAAGTCCGATCAAGCAGGATTCAATTTCTTGGACCTCATCTTATTGATACAAGCTTCCGTCGATCGGTTGACACTGAATTATTGTGACAAGAACCAACCTGACACTCCGAATATTCCCATTGAATGACTCTGTGTGAACCCAGATTTGAATGCCCTCCTAACGTACAAGTTAACCTTGGAGCGGAAGGCCACTGAAATCTCCTGAGATCGAAACAAGGCAACGACAACCTATTATTCGGCGCACTTTTTCGGAAGCCGTTAGAAACGTTGATTGAGCCCGCGCAGCCGAGCTCGTATATAGGGCGGTTACCAAGCGCTAAACTTCGATCGTGTTTCTCTTACGAGTCAGCACAACAGATTTTGAAGACAAAAATTTAAGGACTGTTTGGAACTGCTCAACCTCCAGATAAGTCTTTCGCTTCTAAAGTTATTAATTTTGGTGTTGTGAATCTTCAGTCGAAAATGTAATGTAAATTATCGCGGTTACGACATTATATTTCGTTTTCCCATGGAATCGTTCATGTACCTACTCCGGCCACCGCTGTAATGTAGCAAAGCTTAACAGATTTTATTAGATAATTTGGTCTTTAATTATCAAAGTTAACGGCAATAAAAGTTTACTTAATTAAATTTTGGTTGTAAGAGATTCTGCTTCTTATCTAATGAATTCTGAAATTGCCATTCTTTTCATAAGATTTGCAATTAAACATTCTTTTCAGAAGAACATTCTACTTCACTTGCCTGTCAAAAAGAATCTTCGTTCTTGAGAAAAAAAATTCCAGATTCTTGAGGCAAGAATTTCTGAAATTGCGATTCTGTTTGTAAGATTTGCGATCAAACATTCTTTCCACAAGAACTCTCTGCTTCATTGCCTGCCCAAAAGAATTCTCGTTCTTGAGAAAAGAATTCCCTATTCTTATGGCAAGAGTTTCTGAACTGATTGCAATTCTATCCATAAGATTTGCAATTATACATTCTTTCCGGAAGAACTCTCTACTTCATTGCTTGCTGGAAAGAATTCTCGTTCCTGAGAAAAGAATTCCCGGTTCTTGTGGCGAGAGTTTCTGAAATCGAGATTCTTCTTAGGATATTCAGTTGTAGTGCCTTCTTACCAAGAGAATACTCTTCCATTCAATCTTGTTTCTAGAGCCTCGATTCTACTGCAAAGAACCGCAATAAAATGATTCTTTTGATAAGAATTTTGGTTCTTAACGAGAGAAAATGCTATTAGTGGAATTTAGTGTCGTTCAAGGCAACCGCAACATACATATAAATTCCCAACCGAACCCTTGAACATGAATTCTGTGAATCAAACATTCTGCTTTTATCGCAGGACTGCCATTTTACTTTTGTTGAATTTTTTTCCAAGACAGGGGAATAGAGGACGACAGCAATGAAAACTTGATAGTTCACTTACCCGTATTTGTAGTTACTCGCCATCACTAACTCTTTACGCGTATTAGTAACTGCCTTCAGACGTATGGTCTTGGTGAATCAACACCACGGTTCCGTTCAAACAACTTTTCTCTTGTCAGCAAATTTACTTCCGCTGTCCACCGGAATAAATAGAAGTTGACCGCGGGGGAATTGGCTTCCAAGATGGTGGCGTCCGAGACCGAGTTGTAAACAGACATGACCGCCTCGAGTAAGGTCTCTCTTTTTTATGGACGTGTTTGTTTGAGGAGAAAAAAAAAGAGAAAATTTACAGATTGAAAACAGATGATAAAACCTTTGAAGGGCATGAAAATTTTTGAAAGGAGACGAAATTATGAGCTGAAGGAGGATCGTGGTGAAGCGTTCCTAAACCGCTCACCGGAAGCTAAAATGGAAAATAAAACTTACGTTGGGTCTAGGATCGTAAACGCAGACAACTCTTTGAGGGAAATGGAAAAGAGTTAAAATCTGCTTTGTTGATGTAAACCGTAATGAAAAGCAATCAAAATATTGTAAAATTTCTTTCTATAAGTTAGAATCACTGTTATTATTTTTCGACCCCAGTTTCACAGTAAAAATCAGATCTTAAACAAGGTCATCTAATCTCCTTGTTGACTCTGCTGCTGATCCTTTAACTTAGGTTTAAGAAGATCATGGCCACTGAAAAGCGATATGTACCTCCCATGTCTAAAACTTTTAGACATGGGAGGTACATATCGCTTTCCAGTGGCCATGATCTTCTTAAACCTAAGGAAATTGCCTGGTTGGGAAAAAAGTTGACTAAATACAGTATGGCTTAATGAAACTAAGATTATGCCTCTAGGTAAAAGGCATTAATTTTTTTAGATTACAATAAAACATGATTCATACACTTGCCTGTTTTCACCAAATTTCTCATCACAGGGCTCAGTTTTGAGGTTTATTGGTTCTGATCACGAGTGAAAATTTTTGTTGGAGAAAAGTCGAGATACTTTCTGATTTTGGATGCAAGCTGTGTCTAAAGGAGACACCTTTCTCTACTTTGAGGTTTATAAAAGGGAAGTGATTCCACAAGGTACAGAACAGGATAAAGCCTGTAAAAGTGATTCGAGGTTGTTAAGGATATAAAAGCCAGTAATAGAGTTGTTAACACTTATTTAAGTCTCTCGTTAACCAAACAGTGTTATCATTTTTCTTCTATCAAACCACAAGTATTTGGGAGAAAAAAATTGCCGTAGTTCATTGAGTTCTTACTAGAGGTAAGTATTCATGAACGAAGTATACTTTGGTAAAAATTGTTGAGAATACTGAACCTTGTGGTAACTGTTGGGCCTCCTTTTCGAGGCAGAATAAACCCGTAAAACATTGTATTTCCGCGTTGGTATCGAAATGATAAGGTATCTACCTAAAAGAATTCATGACAATTCATAATAATGTGATCAACTTTCGGTGCCATATCATGGCACAAAGAAAATCACTTTGCTGCGTCGTAGGAGTAAGTTGTCATCTATTGCTTTCAGTTCAGCGACACATTTATGAAAGGAACGCTTCTTATTAGAGGGAACACTCACCTAGCTAGTAACAAACTGTACAGTGCCGAAGCTCTTGAGGGACGTCAACTCAAGAATAAGAAGTAAATATTGTCAACTTCCGTCAGGACAGGAACCGAAACAAACAGGCTTTCCACGGGACTGTAACGCCTGTAGGGGAGTGGTACTCAGTTGCTATTTTTCTCGAATAAATAAGGAAAATACGAAATTACGTCAATCACGCTACGATGCAGTGGCGAGGTATGTCGGGGTAATTGGTGTACCTTGATAAACAATTTCAACTTCTCCTTGTGATTTTTTTTTTAAAAAGAAACGCTGGCGGTAAGAATACTTTGCAATTTCTTGGGGGTCAAGCCTACAGAGCAGGCGTAATTTTGGCTAGCCTATGTACAGCCCTCCAAAAGAAAATCGAAAATCACCCGTAGCCACCCGCTACCCTCTTTTGGAGGGTAGCGGGTGGCTGTACACAGGCCAAATTTTGGCGGGCAAGTGAAAATCAAAGCTGCCATATTTGGATTTTTACAGCAGCGGGAGGCTGGGGAGAGAATGTAATTTTTTAACTAAGGGTGCGAGCAACAATCAAAAGGAGAAAAGGAGAGGGGATGAGGCAATGAATATTACGCCTTCATATTTCGCCTTTCGCCGCCCCTCCCCCCACCGTCGACTCTAACTTTAAATCAAACATGGCCGGTCGAGTAAACGATCTCAACGATCGCGAGCCTCCCGACGTTAAAATTCGCCCCAATAAGACACCCGCACTGCAAGCTATTCTTTCTGTGAAACGTCGGTGTTCCGAGCATTTCTTTATCAAATATCAACAATTAGACATTCGGAAACTACTTCCTGCTCTCTACCATCCTTCTCAATGCCGAGGATATCCAGTGATGGGTTGACTACAGTGGAGCAGTTATCGTGAATAATCTCATGTTGTTGTGTTTCAGGGATATTCAGACCGACTATCCGCTGCAGGCTCAAACCTGACTCACAAGCTGGTTCGAAAAAGAAGAAGTATTCAAACTCAGATGTAACATTTCAACCCTAAAATCTGCTTAATGACAGTCAGCTAAATAAGTTCACAAAGGAAAGGCATCAGTGCAAAGTGGGGAATTAACCGTCCCAAAACCCCGCAAAATCACTCGAGACAACACAGAAAAACGAAGGTAAATGAACTTTATTTATCTGACCGTCATGAAGCGGATTTTAGAGATGAAATGTTACGATTTGCGGTATTTATGAAATATTTTTCGGATCACTTGCATCTTGCCGAGATCGACCGTTGCAAATTACAAACAGAGTTCAACTAGCGTGTTAAATAACTTACGTCCCACAGGGTTGTCTGCCTGTGATCGTCCCACGTTAACTCCCTTCTACCATAAGCGAACCATGTTTTACCACATTAATCCCCATCTACCCTAAGTGTATACCCTACTGCCTTCTTACAGGTGGCGAATCCACACACGTTGTCGAGATGTGTATCAATGATTTATCGAGATGAGTATCAGAATAATGGATCACGGACCAGATCACGGATCGGATCACGGATCGAATCATGTTAATTGAAATTCGAAATTTTTCGCGACGAACGATGGAAGAAGGCAAGCGACAGGTACGTATCATTTCATCAGTCAGTGTTTCCTTGCTCGGAACTGTTTAGATCAAATGACCACCACAAACCGTATAATATCAAGCCAAGCTTTAATAATTATTCGATCTAAAAGAAATACATTTATAATTCGCAATTAGAACAAACGCAGATCAAGTCTTTATCTTGTAACTAAATTCAAAAAATTTAATATAAACTTACTTCTGTGGCGGGTCGTTACAACAGTCTCACTTTACGGGTTAGCAAATTCTCCAGGTAAGCGGATTTAGAGACAGAAAAACGATAACAAAATAACTTCTTTCTCACTTCGATTCTACTGAAAAACTGACTTGAAACATAATAATCTAATGATTTTAAATCAATCTATTGAATTAATGTCAATCACGATTCTTATCATCGAATAAATCTGTCAACAAGAGGCAACGCCTATTTATTAAACGAAACAGTCAGGTAAGAAAAACGCGACACAATCCACAGTTCCTTGAGCTTCTTCTGTTGCCGGCGCGTGGGGTACGTTGGAAGCCATAGTTTGCAAATTGATCGACCTCAGTGCTCCACATAGCAAGGTCAAAGTCTCGGGCGCTATTCGAGAAAGGTGACCTCCTACGGATCTCTACGATATTTCATCAACGAGAAGTTATTTCAATGATTTGGTTTGTCACGTATTCCTTTCAATAACAGTTGCGTTTTGCGGCTGTTCGAGATCAGCGGAGGCGCTTAACTGCCGCTCAGATCGAAGACAAACCGGAAAAAAATTCCGAAGACCCGTTTGAACATTTGACGAAACCGAAAACCAAATGCTCAACTGCGTAAAATCCGCAAACCGAAATGAACAGCAAAACCGAGAAATCGAAGTTTTTTGGCTGAAAAACCGAACTAAAAATGGCCAAAACTCCCAATGCCCCCTTCTGATGGAAGAATGACACATACCTCTTGCTTGCCTTCGTTCATGGCGGCACTACAGAACACTCCACGTTACAGCCATGACAGTGACTACATGGAGTTTTGAGGTAAGAAAGCTTTCAAATGGACCTGCACTCCATTATGTCACGCAACATCTCTAGTTTTCATTGAAAATATTTTGTAAACGATTTGATTGTTTCATTTTTCAAAACTCTTTTCTTCTTTCGGACCTTGATCCGATCCGTGAGATTTTTGGGCCAAAAAAAACTTCTAGTGGGGCCTGCGCTCAATAATGTCACGCAGACTTCATTTTCGCAAAACTTCTTATTTTAGTTAACGTGATCCATGATCGGTGATCCGATCCGTGACCCGGTCCGTGATCCGATCCGTGATCGGACCGTGATCCGATCCGATCCGCTCCAGATTTTGTCGACGCCAAAAGAAGCCGAACTTCTCCTGACTTTGACCCGATGTCACTTCTTGTTCATTTCTGAGTACTTTCGTAGTTCGAGATTGTGGGGCGCCGCATACACAGAAGAAAGAAGAAAGAAGAAAGCCTTTGAAACAAATTTATTTTGTGCCTAAGTGCACAAGAGATATTACTTTCTCAGTGGTTACCATTTGAATGAGCGAATTATGCCCTATACAACAGAAGATTACATTTTTTGATATTTTTCTGAACTCTTTTATTGACTATTTTGTTACTCATTAGAACGTTGGATTTGTATTGTTACTGTTTCTAACCGTATTAGACTGAGGACGTCGTTATTTATGGGTCCGCTGTGGAATACCAGCTTGTAATTCGAGAGGGGTCTGGGAGAAAGACATGTGTTCGCTTGAGTCGCCATTTTGATAAAACGTTGAATTACTCCTCCACTCATTGAACCTCTTTCTAGACGGAATTTCCCACAATATTCTCTGGCCGTGACACAAGACAATAATTATTTCACAATCATTTGACGCGTGATGAAAAACTAATTTCTTGCAGAAATATCTAATTGGATGCGATCGGCGCATCGTGATAAAAAAGAATTTTCTTTCTTTGAAGAAAGAGCATTTTACCGTTTGAATCGGCGAATTAACCCTTCAACTCCCAATATCTGATCGTCAATGCTCCCCTCTAGCTGCTACACATTTCCTTGTAAATAAGTCATGAGAACTTGGTGTTAGATCAAGAGAGCAGATTCTACCTGATAAGTTCGAAAATTCTCATCACCTGTTTCCTGAATTGAGTATGGATATTCTAGGGAGAAGTTTTATGTTAATCACAAGATTGAGTTTTTAGTGAATTCAAATGAAACTAAAGTGTATGTGCTTGGATTCTGCGTTGGATTTATGGCCGCCCGGTCATTTTGCGCTGGGACTTTTCGCTTCTTGGATCGGGCATTCGGAAATAGAGCGTTCAGCCTTGGGCTTATGGAAAACCTCGAAATGGACAACTCTCTGAAATGGGTTCTTTTCATCAAAGTAAGCGGTCATATAACAAGTGATATGCTGTAGAAGTAAGGTGAGGTATTCTTATTAAGAATTTGACGTACTTTTTAATTCCTTAGGGCGATCGTAAATATTCCCATACAAACTCTTGTAATTCCGCCATGACTGTTATTGCACAAGAGGATCATCTAGCAGATTAGTAGGAGTTTAGTGTTACAATTATTACAAATGAAATTGTCAACCATATGTCCTTCTGCCACTTCCAATGTTTCTATGCACTAAGTGACGGAAAATCGACTCTCGATTAAAAAGAAAACCATTACCCCAGATGATGACACAGGGTGACTCACAAAACAATGAGAAAGCGTGAGTTTTTGATTATTACAAATGAACCTCTGTGAAAGTTATCGTTTAGGTCAATTCCAATTCGCTCGAGGACTGGCGAATTGATAGTCTTCGTAACTTGCCTGGTTGATTTGCCATTTAAATGGACTACCCTTTATGGGTTGACCCTCAACCATCACCGATATACTAAAAAATCCAGGTTGCTTTGGGCAATAATTGAAAGAATATGACCCATCACCATTATCTTGCGCCATAAGTTCTCGCCAAACTTCATTTTCCCGTTTTTGTCTGGTTGGAACAAATTTTGTTGCTAGGTACGAGCTTGATATAGGATTTAAATTAACCTGAACGCTCACTTTGTGTCCACCTTCTGTAACTCTAACACCGCTTCCATCCTTGATGATAAGTGTGAAATACACTATTTGATCAATTCTGGTCTGACGTGGATACCCTCCTTGTTCCCCTTTCGTGCTAATGGTGCACTTCTTGGGGTCACACTGAGTGTGCATCACTTGTGCCAATTCCCCCTCATCCTTAATCGATCTTTTCACTTGAAATTTCATGTAATCATTCCGACAGGGTTTCAACTGGTCTTGTGAAGAATTAAGCTTAGAAAGTCGCTGGACAAGTTGTGTCTTCAGGGACAGGAGCTTTATGTCATCTCCATCTTCTATGGCCTGGCTGGTGAAATCAATGGCACTTCTCAACTGGACCAAAAGGGAGGAAAGATCGTCTGCCTGACTCTCAAGCTGCTTGACTTTAACTTGGCCTCGTGTTGTAGCTTCATGCTTCAGGTGTGCACGGTGTTCTTCTAATATCTTCACTTGCTCACAAATGAAAGAATCCACCCGTTTGTTTACCTCTGAGACTTTGCTTAGGACACGAACTTTCATGTTCTGTACCGCTTTCAGACCTTTTTCAACTGCCTTTTCTTTAGCAATACATTTCTCGAGAATAACGCGCACAGAACTTCTTTCTTCTTCAGCAATATCAGCCACAAAGTGGTACTTGTGCTCTCGGTGATCGACAATGGTGCAGTCTCGGCAGATTGTTTTCTGGCAAGTCTGACAAAAGAGCTTGAGTAACTCTTCACCATGCTTTTCACAGAATTCTGGCTTGACAAGGGCCTTCGAGCCAACTCTCTTGACTTCCTCCAGGGATAAGATCTTGTGACTCCTTGTTGCAGTGATTCTTTTATGTGCAGTTACACAAAACTCGCACATGAAAACACAGCAGTTGGAACATCGAGATAAGGCTGGGTCCCCACTGTCACAGTGTTCACACACAAGTGGCTTTTTGGGTGAAGACATATTGCTGTCCCGCATGCTTAGTAGGGTTATAAAGTTGTTTACCCAGAAATTTGACTGCAGTTTGCCAACATCTCCATCAGTAATCTAGTTGAGGGCATAAGAAGTTTTTTTTTCAAAAATGTTAATGATAATAATAACAATAATAATAATAATAATAATTGCAATAAAATACATAAAAAATTTACGTGCATCTGATTGGCTGAAAACAAGTGCATTTTTCATGTAACACGAGTGCAAAGTTGTAACACAAGTGCAAATTACAAAATAGTGTGCAAACGCTGCCAAAATTTCATCCGTCTTCACTTTCTGTGGTGTGTTTTTCATGTAAATTATTAACAAGCAACAATACGATTTCTCATGCAATTTGGTATATATAAGCACTTGTAAATTTCTCAAAGACTACAAATTGCACTCTCCCAACGGGTTCTGCAATTTTTCTGTCTTTGAAAAATTTACTCGTGCTTATTAACACCAAATTTACACTCGAAATCATGTTGTTGCCTATACTAATTAATAGAAATAACTTAATTGATTCACACAGTACAATGCAAATATCGGTAAAAGCAATATACAGGATCACATTTCAATAAAAATTAACATTAACTTCACAATTCTCGTCCTACTAAAGGTTTAAATATTATTCTACAATATGTGCAAAAGTATGCCTCTGTTATATATGTGTATCTATCTATCTATATATATATATATATAATTATTATTATCATATCATTTTACTTGTATGAATGGCGTAACAGCTTGTAATTAAGAGTGCAACTGGGAGTGTTGTTTTCAAAAAAAGTTTGAATGGTATATTTCTGCTCTAGTTTGATTGTTTTTTTGTGTGTGATTTTTTCAGCTAAATGCACATGACTGGAGTGGGGAAGATGTTACCTGCAGGGAATTGGATAGCTAGCCTGGTAAGATTTTGCTTTTGCAGAGTATGGGGCCACTAGATTGGCAAAAAGTGGCAGAAGCTTGTTTCATTTTTAAAGAATTGAGCAGTGTAGTGTCTCTGTCTGATTGTTGCCAGTCTTTCAAGTCCAAATAACACACTTCTGCTTAGATTTGCAAAAACATGCTTGCCATGTTGCAAGATTGAAAGTCAGGTTCATGTCTGCCACAGCTCAGCTTGTGGGTGCACATCTTGTGGTTGGAGGGTGGTTAAGAGTCCAAAGCAGCAGGCAAATTAGGAGAAGCTGCGAAGACCTGAAGGCTAGGTTCATCCTTGAAGGCTTGGTTTTATCCTCAAGCTTTACAGGCACAGCCGTTAGTGACCTAGGATACTCTCTGATAGGCTGGTCCCTAGGTTGCATGTGGGTGCCAGACTTGACATTTTAGGCAGCCACTCTACCTTAAAGGGAGGTGATGTCTACCTTCAAGGGGACACCTATTGAACAGGTGCTTGTAGTATCAATTCCAAATTCTCCCTAGCTGACTTCTTTTAACACTTAAGAGCTTTCCTGGCATTGGGTCTTCGCCCACATGCTAAGCTATGGCAGGGTTAAAGCCTGACTTCCAATTTGCAACACAACACATAAAAAATGAGGAATGCTTCTGATACCCATGCAACCAGACTCCAGAAATGGAGTCTTAGCCCACTTACTGAGGTGTGACAGGGCACTACCAACCCAGGGAAAGACCAAAATGATCAGCAAAAAAGCCCAACTGCATTTGAAGAGGCCAGGCTAGCCTGACCTTTAACCCCCTAAGAGTGACTAGCATCTAATTTTCCTTACAATATCACCCTTGAATCATGCAGTAGGGTCACAAGAATAAAGGAAATTATCAGCAGTGAGAGAAGTTGTTGATTGTTACACAAATTCTCCTTGTCAGCACCTCAGGGAGTGTATGGAGAACAGTATGGAGAATACCTTTACTAATGTTAGGTTGTAAAGGGTTGAAGGCAGGCAAAACCCATCTTAAAGCACAGACCTAGTAAAAGCTGAGGTTCCTCACATTTTTCATAGACCCCTGCCAAAATTGACACTTCTACTTAAAACCAGTCCCTCCTGGTGTTTTCAATAGGATTTGAAGTTGGTGGCTACCTTGGTAATGCACCCACCAGAGAATATGAATAATTTCCCTCTCGCAAGCACATTAGTTCCATCCACAATAAACTGGCTTCAAACAGAGTTCTCAGTGTTAAAATTGAAACATGATCATCCAATATCAGTCTCCTTCATAACAATTGTTTAAACAATCTTCATACAAAAGTTCTCTGAAAGGACCTATGGTTACTGATTTCAGAAATTTGAATCAGTATGTCATTGGAAATCAAAAATCTTTTTTCTGGAAATGTGGTACATGATAGGGCAAAATCAATAAATTCTATCAAAACTTATATACTAAGGTAAAAATAGACTGAAAGAACTCTAAAAGATCTCTGGGCATTTTAGGTCTAACTTTGTGAGTTTGCTTGAAAGCTTCCAAAAAGTCACAGAGATCCAGAATGATGGTAACCATCCAATAGGACATAATGCTGATTTTTTTTTCGCAGAGGGCACACTAAATCTGATTGGTTCTTAGTGTGGTCTGGATATTCCTATCTCTGCCCATGAGCATGGTAACATTTTCGTGAGTTGCCGAGTACCTTCCTGACTTCATTGCCATTTTTCATAAATTTCATTTTGCTGGCAAAGATGTCCATCACAACATCAAGCTTATTAACTTATTAATCCTCCCTTTTTTCTCTCTCTCCCATATCACTTTGGTTGCTAGCAGAAAAAATGGTTTCAAAATGAATTTGTGGTAGCAAATGTGCCATTAACTGGGTTGACAGGCTGCTCAAAAACCATTTGTAGGAGTAAGTTTAATCATACACAAAAAAGACATCAGACAGCTAAAACATGAAGTATTTGTTTATGATTGAAGTAATTGATGGAACTTTCATTCATTGAGTTTGAATTCTCCCAAACAATATGATTGTTGTAAAGTGGCAATCTTAGTTTTGAGTTCCTCTCCAAATATGCTTTTGGTAAGTCTTTACCTTGGACATTTTACTGTAAATTGCACAAGAGAAACTGAAGGAATTCAATGAAAAAGCTACCTTAAATCCCCTTTAGTCTAGTCGAAGCATCTAATTTGACGAGTTTTTGGGTAGAAGAAAGACCAGAATTTTCACACGCCATTCCAGCAAGCAAACAAGCAAACTCTCACAACTTCAAAATGTACATTTGCATGACTGAGTAGCGTTGAATCTTCGTAGATTAATGGTTGATGGAAGTGAACAATACTTTCCATAAGATCATCGACTTTTTTTGAAGAAAAAATTGTTGTGACAGTTAATGAAGTTGAGTTTGTTTTGCCTAACAAATACCATTGTTTTTTTCAAAAGTGTTCAAACTTTTTTTTTCTTACGCTCTCTCTAATTGATAGGTGTCAGATTGTGACAGATACTTGTAAAAAATATGTTTGTTTGGAAGCCTTTTAAATCACCTTTATCTTTACAGAAATTCATATGTTTTGGTGAAGCATCACCTCTTTACCATCTACTTGCTCTAAAATTGTCCAATTTGTGGACTCCAAGGATCATGCTGTAATTACAGCCCAACATCATTTGGGTTCTTTTGGCAAGCATTTCGTTAAGTTTAAGAAAAAAAATAAATATGTGTTATTTACCAGCCCAGGTGGGTCTGTATTCAGAAAAACTGTGCCCTTGGCCTATAGAGCTTCAGGTGGTACTCAAGACCTTGTGCACAGTTTTTCATAATTCAAACATCCCATCAAATTTTGTTGCTATGACCTAAACCATTGTTTGCCTGGCCAACCCAGATTCTATTGTTTTCCAATCATACATCATTTTTTGACTCACATTGTAATGCCATGATCTTTGTTTACAGAGTTTTCTTCTGCTTATAATTTGAAACAAACCTCTCAGTCTCCTTCCTTGAAACACAGAATGTATTTTTTGTGATTGCAACTTTTTTTTGTATTGGGTGAAATCATGGCAGTGAATTCCATGAGTTTTATCTATTGGAAAAACAACAGGACTTTCTTGTGTGCAGAAGTGTTCACTGATGCATTCAGCTGTTTATTTTTATGTAAGATAATTGAAATAAATAAATCCAATGAATTTTAACTGTTCCCACAGTCAAGAAAAATAGCAAAAAGCCACGTACTTACTCATGTTCTGGCTAACCAGTAACCATAAGATCATAGTCTTCTTTGCTTTTTACTAAAATGTTAGATGCCAAGTATTTAATGGCTGTTTGCTTCCTTGTCTTTGTAGTTGAGCCTCTGTTAAGCTTTATTGATGGAAACTTAACATCTTTGCAAAAAAGTTTTTGAATTTGATCTACATGTGGGCAGGTGTTTGCTGTGACAATTCCTCCCTCCCAATCCAGCTAAATCGGGCACTCCCCCTCCCCCTCCCCCTCCCCCCCACACACCCAACCCTCCCACATACAGCCATGGGGTCTCAGCCCACTTGAAAACATTAAATTGGGGATATTCTTTGATTTAACACCAAATTTTCACAGTTAAAATTCTGAGAAATGTATAGCAAACAGTTTGTAGAATTAATATCTATAAAAGGGTGAAACTTAGTTTTGTTTAAAAAAAATAAATAAAGTCCTGAACTCACTGTTACATCCTGGCGGCACTCTGGGCAGGTTATGATATGATCAGGTCCCTTCCTCTTCACTAGTTTCACAAGGCACCCTTTACAGTAGGTGTGCAGGCATGGTAACACTTTTGGTTCCCTGAATTGTTCCAGACAGATAGCACAACACAGCTGTTTATCAACTTCTTTTTGCTTAGCACAGGCCATTACCAGTCTGAAGAAATCCAATCCAATAGTAATGGAACAATAATTTGTGTTCAGATAACCTGCCACAACAATTCATACTAATTGTAAGTTTGCTAAAATGGGGAATTTTCCCTTAAAGTTCACTTGTTACTGATAAGCCTAGCAGCTAAAGTCCTGGTCAAAAGCTGTTGTTAATCTATCTTCATACAACATTGCATTCTAGTTCCCCTCTGCCTCTTTCTCACAAAATGTTCTACTTGGTACAATTATTACAGTGAAACCTCCATTCAGGGAACACCTGGGGAACCAGGGAAGGTGTCCCCTGATGGTAACCACACACGCACGCACGCACGCACGCACGCACGCACGCACGCACGCACGCACACACACACACACACACAAAACTGGAACTTGCTTGTACAAAGTTGACTGAAACCAATAGATGTCAAGCTATTACTGCCCCTGATGCAGGCCTTTATTACTCAGGCAAAATATGGACAGAAAGTAGAGCAACAAAATGGCTGCACTGAATAATCCAAACTTATTTTTATCAATCTTTTAGACTTGACTTATAAAGAAGCTGTGGAGCTCATTTGCCTCATGCAATCAATAAAATGCTCAGATAAGGCCGTCATAAAAAGTATTCTGAAAAATATAGGCCAAAATATTAGAGAATGAAATAATAGTGAAAAAATAGTAGAATAATAGTGGATCTTTAAAAGGCTCTTAAAAGCTTGCAAGATCTCCTGCTTTACGTGATTAATCAAGTACAAACAAACAACTATACTGTACTGCAAGAAGAAACAAGTCAAACTTTATAAGTATGAGAAGTTGTGATTGTTTGTCCTTCATGGTTTACTGATAACCAGAACTATTTGTTAGGTATAGATTACCACTTTAAATGAAATATATTGAGATTTCCTCACAGTTAATATCATTTTTTTCTTCAATTGTTGGCTTTATTTTTGAATATGGCAGAGTCTAGGTATTTTGAAACTGGATATTGCAATCTCTTTAGACCACACACCCTAGTGCCTTTACCAATTTGCTCCTTGACCCTTTGATCCCTAAGAGTGACTATCATCTAATCTCTCCTTACAATATCACCACTGAGTCATGCATTAATGTCATGAGAATAAAGGAAATGATCACCAACTAAAGAATCTCCTGATTGTTGGACAAATTCTCCTTATCAGCACTTTAGTAAATGTACAGAGAACAGTATGGAGAACATGAATACTGTTGTTAAGGTGTAAAGGGTTTAACTTGCAACTCTTTCTGATGTAAAAACCCTTGATTTGCAATTTCCTTATCCTTTTGGGTTCCCTCCCTCATTTTGCCATAATGACTCTGTGCTTTTCAACTGCAAAGGGTTTGGTAATCTTGTGCCACCAACATGGAATACTATGTCAACCCATTCCACCCTAAACAAGGTGGAAATGCTGGCTGTGAAAACAGTCTGTGTGGTTGCAAAAGGAACTCTTATGTTAACTTACATTTTAATATTTTAGAGGGTTCATTTGAAATTTGAATCAAATCATACAAGCCTAAGATATAGGGGCAATATGAACCACAAGACAGTTGCCTTGCACTGTCATTTCAGACAAACACTAAACACACAATTGTGGTGCTCCAACATTTGATGAACGGGAAATAAGAACCTTTTGAAAACCCTTTGAAAACCCTTTTAAGTCTGATTTCCTGAAAACAATGGTTATCAAAAAAACTCTTTGGGCTCATTTAGAGAAATGCAGATTCTTATGAGCAGGTATTAGGCTGTTTTCAACAGTAATTAAAGTGTAACGGACAGAAAAATTTTCCCCTTTTTTTTGATCTCTACACATTCCTTTTGAGTTAAAGAATCGCACATGAGCAAATAAATGATGTATTGTGCAAAACCAGATTCACTGTAAATTTCTTTATGCTTAATCAGCCATTTTGAAAATTTTCCATTCCAGGTCACATGATGTGATATGTCACATGTGTGTAAGGCTGTGAAAAGGGCCATGTTAAGACCTGAAAGTAACAACTTCATTCTTGCTATTCAGCTGGTACTGAGCAGGGGAAAAAAGTGAGAAATAAAATCCTATCTCTAAAAAGATTGAAGTATTAAAATGTGACAGATTGCGTATCTGTATTCAGAGCCACAGGTAAATTACATGCCATGCCAAACAGCAGTAAGAAAATGTACATTTTTCCCCTTGACAACTGTCAAGTCTGTTATATGTAGAAATATTATTTGTCGTGGTCCAAGCCAAAAAGCATTTAACTTAACAATTTGTTTGCCAAATTGGAGTGAGCGTGACAACCACAAAGTGTTGTTGTGTATTATGGGAGGGCTTCATCTGGTTTGTAAACGAAACCTTTCTTCCACATTCCAGAAATGTACAAGATTTATCCTTTCTTTATCTTTTTTAACAGAGACTAGTAAGCAGCACAGTAGAAGACTTCTGCTATTGTAACTTTTTGTTTAATTTTTCCAACACATTTTGTCTTGTGCTGACACTTCTGCAGGGATGATTACAATTACCATTGAACAGCATATATAGAACATTCTTGTGCCAAAGTTTGACTTCCAATGGAAGTGAATAATAACAGAAACATCTTGTAAACGGACATTACGAGAAATGCCTCATTATGAGTGCCACACTCAAGCCTTGTTTCTCATTTGCGACCAGAAAACATGATGAAAAAAGTCTTGTCTGGAAGGTTACTTGTTTCAAAATTGTACCACTGTCAGCTGAGTGAACAATAAAATAATCACACTTGTTTATTGTAACACATGTTATGAGACTGCCTAGCACCCACAGTACAAAACACAGCATCTTGGTTAAAAAAGCACAGACTCTTGATTCTCATCAGGCTCTTGCGCTCTCTTTTCGGTTCTTCCTGGCGGTTCAAATCGCCAGGGCTGATTTAAAACAACAGGCTTATAAGCCCTATCATGATTTTCACCAACCATCGAGGCCTCAAAATCCGAATAATCAGACCCCGAAGTCGAACTGCTCTCACTCGAACTACTATCCGCCATATTTACTTTGCTAAGTGTACGCACCTATGACGTACAGGTCACATGATCAAATTCGAAGCGTCTAGGGTGGATGAGTAACGAAGCCGGAATTAGTACAGTTTCGGTGCGTAAAAAAGCTACAAAGAAGTACCCTGTGTCTGTTTCAATATGTTACCTGAGGCCTTTAGACAGTATTCCGAAAAAATGACTTTTTAGCCGCAAGTCACCCTTTAACTACCCGTTCGGCCGCGGCCATGATTGTCCAGTCGAGTAAATCAGGAAATAAAAGGGAATGAAAGCCTAGTTTGTAAGTATGCATAACTTTACTCCGTATGACGAAATTTCACTCTCCAAGTTAAAAGCTTAAATGAAGGTATGAGTCTACGTTAAAAAAATGAAACAACAACAGAAACAAGCGAAGTAGAGTGTGTACGATTCTTCGAGATCGTCCGAGAAGAAACTCGATTATCTTTTGCGGTGAAGTAACACTGCACTCTCTACAAATTTAAAGCGGGGTGAAAATTCGGTTAAACTATATCGTAAATAAGAGTAGAAGGAACTTACCAAAGAGTACAGAAAGCTAAAACGCTCGGTCAACACACCTTTGATTGACTGTACACGCACTTCTCACTCTAGTCCGAATATAAAACCGCGAGACAATCATCTCGCTACGAACTATGGGCCTTTTAGAAGAACCATCGGAGCGGGAGGGGAAGGGGTTCCAAAAAAAGAAACATTAACAGGAGCCACAGAGGGGATCCGAAGGCATGTTTCCCTGGAAAATTCTGGTTTAAGTCCTTCTTACATAACAGAAGAGTGTATTTGGAAAAAACAAATAAAATATTCAGTTGATCACATGCATTACTGAAATAAACATTCATAGATACCAGAAATATAACCATTTTTTAGTTATTTTTTTTATTATTTAAAAAAAAAATCTATGTTAGCGTACAGAGAGTAGTATGTTGCTCGCACCAATCAGATCGTTTAGTGTATGTATCTCGCACCAATCAGATCGCCGCATCAGGGTATGTATCCCGCACCAATCAGAGCGTCGTTTTTGTTCTTTGGTTTGAGAGGTGTTCAAATTCCACCGAAGTAATGGGGGTTTGTTGAGGGCAGTTCGTAAAATGGAATCATCTTTTAGGAATGTTGGCTCTTCTGTGTTTTTAACGTATATTTTACCGCGTTTTATGAGAAATGCGACACTACTGGACAGACGAAAGATATCAGATTACCTGTAGTAACGTGTTACTCGTGCTGGGAAAATAGTGGATTATGGTTATCGTTCCTTCCAGACGAGAATGAGTGGAAAAATTTTGAATCAAATATTGCTTGAGGTTTTGATGAATTGTACCAAACATTTTGATTTGAGCAGTTCTTTAACGGCAAGCTGTGTTGCAATATTCATGATTTGTTGAGTGTGCCGGTTATATTTTTCTGGATTGATCTGCTCGGTGCTATCTCTAGATGAATGTCTGGTTAAAATTAACCATGGACGATTTTGTGTGTGTTTTCGATGCCTGGAGAAAGTGATCTTGTGGAGTCGTTTGTGTTTGGCCAAGGACGAATTCAGATACCATCGTTAGCATGTTTATTTGATTTTGTTATCTGGAATGAATGATTTGTGGAGGTAAGGGAAGGTACGTTTTTTCTTGGGGGGGGAGGGCTGGGGAATTTTGGTATTTTTTCCAAAAGAAAGTGTTGGCCCTCCCTCATGTTTTGATTAAAAAACTCCTGACCCCCCCACTTTTAGGTGACTGACAAAAGTGTGACCCTCCCCTCACTACCACATGGTATGCTCCATGCCATAGAAACCTCAAAACATTTTTCGACATTTCGCTTGTAAACGCAAAATGTTTGAATATGAATAAATCTCGATATTGAATATGCGTAGCTTAATGACTTAGGAGATCAGGCAGCGGATAGACAACAGCTGGAACAAGAAACCGTACCCGAGTCAAATACGTCACGATACGGACGGAAAAGGACACGAGTACTCCGAGAAAATTATGTGCCATGGAATAATATACATGTAGACACCCAGTAACCTTGTAAAATTAGTACCTGCACCGAATTAAAAGAAACAAGTTGAAAAGAAAAAACTTAGTCTGTTAAAGAAAAATGGAAAATAACATCACAAAAATCTCCATTAAAAATTCTGGAAAAGGTGTGACCCTCCCCTTGAATAGCTGAAAAAGAGTGTATGGCCCCTTCCCCCTTTGGTGCTCACTTTCACTGATGACCCTCCCCTCTGAGACCCCAGCCCTCCCCCCCCAAGAAAAAACGTACCTTCCCTAAGTTAATATGATGTGATCTACTAACGCCGAAAATATTTTAAGTCGAAGGAACAGTTTTAGTCTCGGTCCACATTTTTGTCAACAAAATAAACACATATCGCTTAAAAAGATGATAATACGGACCACGTACAAAGCTGTCAACTGTTTCTCGAATGTTGCGCGTGTTAAATATTCAATAGTGACATCTCATTTACATCTACCTATACATCTACTTTTATTACGTGGGTAAAATCTGCACAGACATCACACCAATCAACTCGCGCTCAAAGTGAGAAGACAAGATGAAGGCTTGAAATTAAATTACGATCGATTTTCATCAAGAAATGGGCCAGGAATATTCCTATATAGTGCAAATAATCGTGAAAGCTGATCGCGGAAAGCGATTGCGTGACGTTCGGTAAGTTGTAAGATGACATGTTTAATATCACATACCAGATGAAACTAGACCCAGTGAGCAGGGTAACTGGGATACCTGGTACTGGATCCTTGAGATCAAGTGTAGTGATACTACGGGTGTCGGACCAGTATACTGAAATAGTGAGTTCAAGTCTGGCCAAGGGCATACAGCTATCTCAAAAAAAGGTTGTCATCTACTACTTGTGGGTGCACTGCTTGAAAATAAACATGACCTCTAAATTCCAATTTTCTTTTCAGTTTCAACAGTATTATTCCAGATCTTTCAGCGGGATGTGGTAATATATTGCATGTTTGATCACATTCAATCTTGTTGTAAAATCAGCAGCATATAAGCAGAGCGCCGAGTCCAAAGGAGGGTAAGAAGAACACTGTTGATAGCGAGGCGAGTTTTCCGTATTGGAGAATCGTCCCGCGCGAAGAAAATCGAGATAATTTGGCAACAGTAGTTCCGAGAAAAAAAGAAAACACCCTAAACCTTAGAACTATATAGACAATCTTTGCTCTTAACTAGTTCAATCTCTTTTCGTAATATATTGATGCCATCTTTCATTGGGATCATGATCGCTTGATCTCAATGCGTGATGGCTGTCACATCACGCTTGTCTCGGGTTGATCTTGGCAAAATATGCAGGTGGTAGATCTATTTTGTTCAGAAAATGACTGCACTGTAAGTAGCTCCTCTTTTTCTTTATTTGGTTTATGAGTTTTAGGAGTCTAGTTTAGCTGATGTTTCTTTTGCACTTTGGATTGTTTGTAGTCTGTTTGTTTTGTAGTCGTTATCCTCCCATTAGTCCTAATTTAATACTGTATCACTATCCGCTATTCACTCATTAATGACAAGTATAGACAAGATAATTCCAGTATCTTATTGGATCAGGTTGCGTCAGGTCCACCATCGAGAGTGTTTCGAGAATCACTCATAGGAAATTTTTCCCTCCTATCTCCAAGAACTGCAAGTTCAATCAACGGAAAAATTTCGCTGAAAGTAACCTGACAAAGTAAATCCTGAAATAATTACACCTGAACTGATTGCGTCGTAGTTATTATGCAACACTGAAATGGCCGCCCCAGAGCAAGATGAGATCAACGAACCAGCTTCAAATATGGAACTTAAAACATTTCAGGCAAATTTTCGCACGCTGTCGCAAGAAGAAGGCATGGAGGAAGACACTCAGCAGAATCCTTTGAAGATAATTTGCGTAGGTGATTACACAGGTGGTGTGAGAACTAAGGGAATCTTTATTAAGGATTACTTGGGAATTAAACCCACCGTAAGATGCCATCCTTTCACTTGCATTGATTTTTATCTGAAGAAAGTTGAGTGGCAAAAGCTTGGACATTCAAGTCGCAATTCGATAGTCGTACAACTATGTGACATCGCTGAAATGGAACGCTTCTCCGCCATGACCAAGGTCTTCTTTAAGCACAGTCAAGGAGCCATGGTGTTTTGGGGACCTCACAACCCATCGTCACTTGCTGGAGCATTGCAATGGCGGAGGAAGATCAGGGAGGATATATCGCTTCCGATTCCTTGCGTTCTTGTCACAGACAATGTGACAGACTCTTGCTCGAGTTCAATAAACTGGATTGGGCCGGGGAAGATATTTGAGAGCGAGCTAGCGCTGGATCAGTTCTGTAAAGATCACAACTTTGAAAATCATTTTGAGATCACGGCACGCGATTGGGTGTCTGGTGAAAAGAGTGTTTTTGGACAGGCTGTGAACTGTCTTCTTGACGGGATTTTGCAGGGCGAAAAGAAAGAAGAACAGTCTTGCGTGTAACGCAATTATTCAGCGACTGATGTCCTTCGCAGCCGATGTTAGGTTTTATCTCAACGAACTCTCCGCGTTTCGTGTCGAGACTAAGTAAGGGCTACGAAAGAGACTGTTAATTAAACGTGTACCAGACTCAACTGCAAAGTTACGTGTTAAATGACTATGCATCAAGAATTTAGCATAAGAAGTTTGTTTGTAGATATCATTACAATTTACTAATTGGTGATTTTACGCTATTTTGTCACGTAACTCGCAAATACGGGTTTCCTCGGAATGTCACGCAACGTTTCTTCCAAAGAACGGTTTCCGGTAGGAGATCAAGCTTGAACGTGTTCGAGGTGTTGTCACGCAACTTAGAAAAATAACTCTAATTATGTTAAACAATCAAACAAGTCAAATAATCAAGACCATTTGAAGTTAGAATGCATTGGAAAGGGACGCTCAAAATGACCAACGGGAGAATTTAATAGCCGCGAGCGTTGATTTCACAATTTCGTCGAGTTTGCCATATAATTTGCTCTATGGGGATTTACCGCTGCTTGATTAGCAAGCCACTAGATAGAGGAGCTGAGAAAATAAAGAATGGAAACAAAAACAGTCATACTAGAGGAATTTTTGTAGCCGTGCCGTAACAGGCGATGTATTCTGTAAATCAACCCCTATTCACTTCTCGATCACTTTTACTCCCAGTTGCCACCCTTCCGACAAAACAAACAGAGGTAAACCAGAGACGTTCAGGTTTCTAACTGTAACTTTCATTGGAATATTTAGACTATCCTCGCTCATTCATCCAAAAAACAATGTTCTATACCATTAGCGATCAATCTTCAGCTGGTGTTCAAGGGGAAACCGCTCTAAGCTGAGTTACTTCTGTGAAGCCCTGAGAAAACACGGCGGTCTCAGAATCGAAGAAACCGGAAGTGTCGTTTCTGAACTGTGAATATTCTGCAGTCAAACTCTCTGTCCAGTGTAGCTTCGAACTATGAAGAACTACTCGTAAAAATCGTATGTGTCGGTGGCTTCACTGGTGGAGTGGGTACCAAAGGCGTCTTCATAGATGATTACCTCGAAGTGTGGCCACCTGTGCAAACGTATCGTTCTCCACTAATCAGAGTAAAATTTTATTTGAAAACAATCAGATGGCAACGAGGCGACACAGAGAAACCGATTTCTATCAAGTGTCGTTTCTGAACTGTGAATATGCTGCAGTCAAACTCTCTGTCCAGTGTAGCTTCGAACTATGAATTGCCAGAGGAGGGCAACGAAAACTGTTTAAAGAGGCTGGGAAAAGACGTCGAGATGAAAACATTTGCAACGAACGAAGAATTTTTAGAACGCGAAATCGATAGCGATCGACTAGGAAACAAAATCGTTAAAATCCTATGTATCGGCGGAGTGGGAAATATGGGTGTTCTTATCAATGATTACCTCCAAGTAACGCCTCCAGTTCGAGGACTTCGCCCTTCTGCTCTCTTCGTGGATCAGTATTTGAAGAGAATGAAATGGCTCAGAAATGAAGTAGAGAAACCGATCTTTATCAACCTGCGAATCTTGGAGATAGGTGAACTAGGACGTGTATCAAGCCTACGGAGGATTCTCTTTAAGGACTGCCATGGAGCGCTGGTTTTCTGGGAAACACTAAGGCCTTCTTCGCTGAATGAAGCTGTAAAATGGAGGATGATGGTAATGGAGGTTTGTCCGTCTGTTCCATGTGTATTTGTTACTGATAACTTAGGAAAAGTGCTATCACAATGGATTGGGGCTGGCAAGACATTTGAAAGTGAACTGGCATTGAATCAGTTTTGCCACAATCACGGCCTTGTGAGTCATTTCGAGATCGTTTCACGCGATTGGGTGTCCGGTGAAAAGAGCGTTTTTGGACAAGCTGTGAACTGCCTTATGAAGGAAATCTTTCAGAGCGAGCAAACAGAGGAAGAGACCTCGATGTAATGCAACTGACCGTTTTAGTGTGAAATGCGTACACCATGAACCATGAACCATTAATCATCGTAATGAGATCACGCGAATCAGAATACAATTCAATTTTTTTTGCAAATAATATTTATTGCCATGTCTGCCTTTTCATCAGCTCGGTATAGACTGAGGATGTTCCCTGTCTTCTACTTTTTTGTCATGCAGTACAAAAGCGGCCGTGGAAGGTACTGGGCTCCGAAAAGGTCACGCGTCTACCGGTATAACTCGACTAAAGGATGGCTTGATAAACGAACGTGACAGTTCCCGGTCTAGCGAAAAAAACAAAAGGACTGTTAACAGCATGTAGACAAATGCGTCTGGCCGCTTTACCTGGCTTTTTGGAGAACCAGTTGTGAATAAATTCGCGTCATTTGAAAATCATAACAAATAATGATAGGAAGCAAGTGACGAAATTTTGAACCGCGGGGAAAAGTTTAAATCTTTAAAACTAATAGGTGGGGTAATAGGGATGCTATGGGACGGGAGAGAGCCGGACAGGGTTGACGTCTTTGTAATGGTGACTTTCTGGGAGTGAAAATTGTGTAGTGAATATTTAGGAGATGGCCTGAGCTTAGGGACAAGCAAAAATAATCCAGGAATAATTTAGTTATTAATTGAATTGATCGACCACTTAGATTAAAAATCTAGTGTTCGCTTCTCTGTTAAATGATCACCTTTCGTGGTACGGTACAGAGACAGAAAAGAGGAAAAGATTTGAAATAACATCAACCCGGATACAGATTGCATGCCAAACAGTGAGAGCTTAGAAATTTGATGGGTCTGACATTCAACGAGCGAATGCGCATTAGGCTATCAGCAAAAATGGAAACTACAACGCAGCGGGAGGGACAAAGTTCTTAAAACAGTTTTACGACTAACTTTGATTTTTACTTTTATTCTCCGCCTATAAATGTTAAATTTCTTCCAAGTCTTCCAATACCCCCTCTTCCCCCCCTCCCCCCCTCTCCATCTTGAAACCACGGAACCATCCCCACCTATTCTCTTCAGGCGTCTTACTAATGCGAGCTAACGTTATAAGCTCGCGATCGTTTATCCTACCGGCCATGTTTAATTTGGAGTTAGAGTGGACAATGGGGGTAAGAAGCGGGAGAGGGGCTCCCCTTCCCGGCTTATTTCTGACCGACGACCGCGCGCCCCCTTGGTACAAATTTCTTTCTCTCCTCAGCCTTCGGCTGCCATTAAAATTAAAGATATAGCGGCCATAATTTTCGATAAGAAAATACTGAACACTCGCGCGGGATCAGCGATACCTTAAAAGGGATCAGCGATACCGTCTAACCGCTTGTGAGTTCTGCGATTATTTTCCTCTACTGGGTGCCAATCCTTTCATTCGTATGCGATAAGAATCGATAATGACCTTCCAAAAGAGATTATAGACTGAATCTCTTCCCATCCAAGTGACCTTTCATAGTATCCCTTCTGTAACTCGGGTCAAGAATGGGACGCCATAGAGACACCACGAACAACAACATACAGTAGAACTGGGTTGAATGCGTGACAAGACATTGAGAGTTAAATTTAAAAATCGAGTTTGTTTGGTCATAAATTGAAAGAGCGAGCCTGGATAAGATTATAAGTTAAGGGAGAAAAAATCAATCCTAAGAGAAATAACATTCAGTTCCATAATTTCCCCATCTCCACCCCTCTTCCGCGATTAGCCATCCAGAAACTATCCCCACCTCTCCGCGGATATGGCTGCGAGGAGAATGAATCTCGCCCCAGGTCTAATCGCGTCACCTTACCAAACATGACTGTGGCGTTACACAACTATTTCCTTATGAGTGGGATGCTACTGCCTACTGAAAGCCAAGACAGACAATCATTCCGTTGTTAGGCGTTTAAAATCCTAGTGGCGTCGTCAGAGATCAAAGAGAACGAGCATAGCAACCGAAAAGAGACCCTCAGAAAGCCATAAAGATATCCAAGTACAGCTGTACGAAACCGGAAGTTTTCTTCCTCACTCTTTCGGTGTTGACATTGAACTAAGATTTTTCTATACAATGGCATCCAACTATAAATTGCCCGACGAGGTCAATGACACCCGATTGGAGAATCTAGGAAAGGAAGTAGAAATGGAAACGTTTAACTCGAACGTCGAACTAGAAAAACTTACGATCGAAAGCGATCGCCAGGGAGAAGAACTACTCGTAAAAATCGTATGTGTCGGTGGCTTCACTGGTGGAGTGGGTACCAAAGGCGTCTTCATAGATGATTACCTCGAAGTGTGGCCTCCTGTGCAAACGTATCGTTCTCCACTAATCGGAGTAAAATTTTATTTGAAAACAATCAGATGGCAACGAGGCGACACAGAGAAACCGATTTCTATCAAACTACAACTCTGGGAAATTGCCGAACAGGAACGCTTTTCGAACATGTTAAAAATTTACTTCAGGGACTGTCTCGGAGCACTAGTTTTCTGGGGAACACAAAGGCCGTCGACGCTGAATGAAGCTGTATTGTGGAGAGAAAAGGTCAAAGAATTTTGCCCATGTGCGCCATGTGTCCTTGTCACTGACAACGTAGGAAAGGAGCCACTGAAATGGATTGGGGGTGGGGAAACATTTAAGAGCGAAATTGCGTTCGATCGGTTCTGTGAGGAGCACGGATTTGTGGATCATTTCGAGATCAAGGCACGTGATTGGGAATCAGGGGAGAAGAGCATTTTTGGACGAGCTGTGACGCGTCTTCTCGATGAAATTTTTAAAAATCAGTGAAGCGAATGATGGTGGGAATTGTGAATGATCAATGTCTTTCGAGGAACTAGGTATTACGTCAGTAGAGTTAACCATCGACCAACAGAAGCTATTTCCTTTCCTTTGTGAAATTCCGACTAAATGTCGTTCATTTTGAATATAATCGTGTTGAATGACATGTGGTTATGGGCGTCTGTGTATTTACAAAGGTTACGCTTCGATGGAGACCTTTTAGCGCAGAAATGAATAACTGTAATTTATGCAACTGTAACAAGAGGGCATGCAATACGTGCATATTATTACACACCCTTACCTGCGGTACTTTGCATTTTTGCGTCGCATGTTCTGTTCCTTGGCAACATTTTGTCCAATTTGTGCATTCATATTTTTTTCCGTTATAAATCAAGAGCTTTTAAACACAGGTAATAAGAGTTGAAAAGTTCAAAAGTCAATTATCTTCGTTATCCTGTTTCCGACACTTACTTCCTAGACATCGTTACTTCACTCTTACCGTAAGGATGACCATATGGCGGGCTACTTCTAACAATTAGTTAATATAGAAATCATTCCCTAGTTGATGGTGTATATAATCAAACCAGCCAATCACGATTATGGAATATATCACAAGGAATATATCGGAACTCATAACTCAGGAGTCCATTAACTTGCTCAAAGTAAAAAGAGACAACCTCCCTGAAGAGCGGGAAAACGCAAGTGATCGCCATGTCGTGATAGGTTTAAGGCAAAGCAGTGATGCAAAGAAGCCAATTCAACATAGACAAGGTCCACTTTATTTCATATTTACAAGTATTACATGTTGGTATTCCTGTTAACCGACTGAAAATGGACAAAATTCATCAAAACTTTACGCTTCCCACAAGGAAGTAACGATTGATAAAAATTTACGTTGAGAAAGACGCTTTAAACAAGGCTGTAATTTCTTCTGGCACATTAACGACATTGGGGTGGGAGCTTCTGTACATAATAACATTCCATTTGTAATTTGGTGCTCAATTGAAATCGAACGATATATGGACGAGGACTGTTCACCTTGCTCTGCCTTTCAAAAAAGGAAGAACGAAACAACTTCGAAAAAACAAAACAAAACAAAGATTTCTACTTGATGGCATTTAAGTGTACTAACACCACTTACAAAACACAGTTTAAGATAGGGACCTCTTTGGTTTCTTAAATATTTCCCTCGAGAAAAACTGTTCCCTGAAGCAGACCATAAAATCTTATAATGCTACCTGTAGTGTCGGAACAAATTTACCTTAAATTTTCTACTTTAAGCTTCAACGCAATGAGTTTGTGTGTAAATTAAAGATTTACGAGAAAGTTTACGGAACCTGAAAAAAGTCTTCGCTCACATGCAGCTGATATTTTTTACGATTCATTTAGCCATGAGATGCTGATAGCTATTTTGGGGTCTCTGCCATCTCTATCATCTCTACCCTCCCCTTCCATGAAAGAAGAGGATTCTTTCACTCTCTCTAGCAGATGGTTTTGTGAAATACCAGCAGCACCTCATTTTGATTTGTGTTAAAGGCAGTCTCCTTATTCTTGGAATCTCCTGGCTCCACATACCCGTAATACTAAGCGATAAAATTGCCTAAATTCTTGGCCTTATTCTACCTGCTTCATACGAAACCTTTTAATCGCAAAGCAACACAGTCACGAGGGAATCAACAAAGATTATGTGCAAATCAAAATCACAATTTCTCAACCATTGGAGGTTCCCTAGACTGACGAGGAAGGCTTCCCTCGAGAAAATTTCAGTCTTCTATTCTGGCGACTCAATACACGAAGCCACTATTACTTTAACGCGTACTAGTTAATCCTACGTAGAGGGGGTTTTCATAACATAATCACTGAGGGATGAAATGGGGTCGGATGACGAAGTGGGCGTGGTCATTCTGGTGACAGCGGGACTAGTGGTGTTGGTATCCTTAGGAGAGCCCGCGGACTGAGGACCTCCTCCTTGGGGATTGTCTTCGCCGGCGGCCTGAGCTTGCTGTCCACAGACGTGATGATGGTTCTCCCAATCTTTGTGCTGACAGAACGGGCCGCAGTACCTCGCCACATTGCATCCACTACATGTCTCCGTGGCCTTTCGCCCGCAATTCCAACAACTCTACGGGAAGAACAACCAATATCCCCATAAGAATGTGGACATCTTAACAAGAGGGCACGCAGATTGACACAAACACAACAAAACTTTGTTAAAGAAAACAAGAATGCATAGCATTATATCCCTACCTCACTTGAATCACTCTGATGATTTGACATGGCTAAGGTGTCTTCAGTGGCCTGTCGGCGCGCCTCTAGCACGGCTTTCTCCATTTTGCCATGCGCACTAGCCACAGCTTCGTTAGCTTTCTCTTCCGCAGCACGGACAGCTTTCTGTAGTTCTACCACAGCTTGTCTCTTCACGTCACTTACGGCCTCTTCCGCCCGACGTTTGACCTCTGCTACGCGCTCCTCCGTTTGTTTTAGCGTTTTAGCCATTAGTTCCCCTAAACGAGTTAAAGATAAAGGTTTAACGAGAGATGAAATTTTCAGCCTATTGACGAATAGGCGTTTTCTTAACACCATACTGGACTTAGCTTGTCCACACGAAATGATAAAAAAGAATTAAGCTCTACACCCACCTGCTCTCCTCTTAACTTCCGCTTCTGTTTCTTCGGCCGTTTTTCGTGCCCAGGCCAATAATTCTTCTCGATCCTGAGTGCATCGTTGTTGAAGCACTGCTACAGCTCGTTTTGTCTTGTCAACCATTCCTATTATGCACTGAAGCATCTAAGTACCACAAATATTTAATTGTTAAAAAAAATCAACAAATAATACACTGTAATAATAAAAAATGTCCTTCACTCATCAAATCCCGGAGGTGATTATCATGTAACTTCTCCCTATAATATCTATATATCATCCAGCAAACAGGTCATAAGAATACTCATACTTATCAGGTCAAAGGCATTTTCTTTATCTAACAAAAAATTATCCTGACTAATTTACTAGGAAATGTTTACCAGCCAGAGGAGAGAATTAACAATCAGATCTTGGGAGTTAAGGGTTAAAATGCGACTGCCCTTTGCATAGAAAGCATTAATTAGTCCTAATCCACTTGGTTACCATGCCTGCTACAACCAGGGATTAACTTGAAAAATTTAGTTGCAGGAGAATACATTTAAGTAACAGGAGCATGTTCTATGGTCTCGAACAAAAAACAATTCAGCGCATGGATGACAAAGTCAATCTCCAATGCCCAATAAAAACCTTCTAGCAACCTTGGAAACTCAACCTACCGTGTCCACATGTTTCCAGTCATCCACTACTTCATGTTTGCTATCCAACAGAGCATCTGGCAAAGTGGGATCACCATCACGTGAACTGCCTGCTGTGAAATAACTAATGATTAATCATACCATCACACATAACTGAAACATCAAAGCAAACAGTAAGAACACTGAAGACTCTGAGATAATCACATGGTCTGTTTGCTTAAATGATTGGTAACATCACTCAAAAGATAAGAGGGAGTCAACCCTTTGCTACCAAGATCTCCCTGTTCCCTCTCCATACTGTCTGGCATTCATATTCCATAATTTTAGATCCACAAATTTTGTGTTCAGTGTAAGCAATTTTCTTCAGCTGATACTTTCCTTTCTTCTCATCACTTGATGGTTTGAAAAGGTTATGATATCATAACAAGACATTTCTTTTGGTAACTCATAGGGGTGAAAGGATTTAAGTTGTCAACTGTCTTTGCATGTACTTCTGGATGTTTGCTGTTCACAATATTGATTTAACAGAAACAAGAATACAACAAATACATAAGGCAAAATACTGTCTCCAAAATATTGTAATTCAACTTTATTTGATTGATTTAATATCAATCATGAACTTCATTAACCCTTTAACTCCCATGAGTGACCATGACAGAATTTCCCTTAACAATATCAATGACAGAATTTCCCCTGACAATATCACTAGAGTATACATGTAAAACAGGCAAGTGATGAGAATTAAAAAAATGTCAGTTAGGGAATTATTAGTTGATCCAATTTCAAATTCACCAAACTAACTTCAGAGGAAGTGTAGGCAGACAGTAAGAATTGCTAATGAGTTCTTGGAAGTGACAGGGTTATGTCATATCTGCATTTCTCTCTGACTGAGGATAAACAAGGCATATAATAAAGAAATTTTACATATTTTAACCGTTTATCTTAATAAATTCAGAGCATTAATTGTCATTCCATAATGCAAAGATTGATCTGTTTAGAGTAGCTTTTTGAATAGGTGAGAGAAGATTATTCACGATCTCTTAAATATTACCTTGTGGTATTGTGATGTCTTCCATTCTTAACTGATTTGGTTTATTAAAACTGCTGCTGTTGCCTACCCATCAAAATACAAAGCTAGCTCAGTATCAATTAACCATGTAAAGTGATTCTTGTTCTATAACTGAGATAAAATTCAGTTTACCTGATTTTAAAGCTAAATCAAAATTCCTCGATTCAAAACAAAGCTGTTTAAAATATATATCTTCAGCAGAGATATCACAACCAAAAAAGCATTTATTTTGAGGTGAAAGTGGAAAAAGTCATCACATACAAGCTACATTCAGTTTTATAAACATACCCAAAAAGGGCCTCTTTGGGATAGGTTTCCCCAGTTCTGCCATCATTTGCTGAAATAAAAAGACTGAAAATTTCAAAACTGTGATAGCCACAGAATGTAGTCACCAAATAGGGAAAGGTGTTAATTTGAAAATTTACACAGCATCTGCAACAGCAACTAAATAACACCACAAACAAGCATAATGTGATGGTAATGAGATGCATAACATAATGTAGGTATTAAATTAATCTCCTACATCACTTGTCTATATTGATCATTAAATAAGCATGTAAATTCCAGGAAAAAAAGGAAGAAACACTCAAACTCACCATAGCCAGATCAGGAGGTGCTCCATTTTCCTTAGGTCTGAAAAGACAGGGATTTATTTAGTACTCTTATTGAGAGTTCTACTTCCATGTACCATTGTACACCCTGACATAATTCAGGGCTCTGCCATGGCAGGGCCAAGTGACCCCTTGGTATGTTACTTTTGCTCTTTGGCAACCAAGGAATCTTACCTGTTCCATAAAACAACTGTACACTCATGTTACATGAAAAATGCACTTGTTTTCAGCCACTCAAACATGCATCATTTTTCATGTTATTAATCAATTAATTTCTACAATGCTGCTGTTGGAGGAAGGACAATCACAGTCCATTTTCACAGCCATACAAGAGCTGCAATAGTAAATCATAATATTCTCAAAGAAAATATTTAACCAGTATAATTATTAGGAAATGAAAACAATTGTTTTTTTGTTATAGCTTTACCTCATACTATCTGAAGGAGCCTTTCGTTTCCCATTTTCATTTATTTCTAATGGATTTAGTTCCTCTGGATCCAGAGGTGTTGTTTCTCTTTCATTTAAAATATCTTCATGTTGTCTGAGATATTGTGGTGGAGTCTGCTTAGCCATCTGAGCACACTGTAACAGTTCTCTTTGTAACAGGGGTAGGTTTGCCTGGAAATACCATAAATATCATACCTTAGAAATAGTTTGATAAGTCAACATATCTGAATGGGGGCAGTTCTATTCTGGGGTACCTTATTTACTTGTGTATAAGTCGAACTTGTGTATAAGTCAACAACACTTTGTCAAGGTCAAAAATTGGATTTTTCATCATTTCTAACCAAAGAAGTTAATCTCTTATTTCTGAGAATATATTGAAAACACGAGGAATTAAAAAAAATGCAGAGCAAAATGTAACTGTGTGCTGTGAAGTTGATATTATTAGCACTTGTTGATATCACCACAATTTAAGCATATACAAGCACTTACTGGAGAAGTATTTTATCATATTTTGTGAATCACATTGAAATGAAATCTTCTTGCATTGAAATAACCTTCATCTTAATGTTGAGTTTGAAAGGAGATTAATTAGACCAAAGGAAAACTTAAAAATTTCAAAGGATCACACGTAACATAAAAAACCATGCGAGCCAGGTCACTAAGCCACGGAAATCATTCAATGAGAACTAAAGTCCAGCACTGTTCACAGCAGCAAAGCTGCAGGCAAAAATGTCTGCCCTACAGTCCAAAGACACAATAGAAGTCAGCTCCAGCAGCTTTTTGTTAAGCCACTTAAAATTTATTACTTCAAACTTTTTTGTTGAGGAAGAATGCACTAAAAAGTGACGAAACTCGAATACAATTAGAACTGGTTTTATAAACTCAGTTTTCCTAACGGACTTCAGGCGATTTTTATGCTAATTTCTTGGATTGCTTGTGTCAGGTCTTTGTGTATGACTTGTGTATAAGTCGAGGGTGATTTTTTGGGCTGATTTTTTGGTCATAAAAGGTTGACTTATGCGTGAGTAAATACGGTAATTTGGTATTATCAACTGATTTGTTGACATAAATTGGCCACTGTAAAAAAGAAAGCTGGCCTTTTGAGTGTTAGTCCTTCCTCATTTGCTCTGACCTAATTAACCTAATGCTGAAACATCAGCTTTGAAACTCTTTACAGTGGCCAATTTACATTATAACCTCAGTTGATAATACCACACTACCTTGTTATACTCTCCCACTGCTACAGCACCACAGTTTCTTTAGAAACTTACCCCCTTCATTCAGTTCTTTCCTAGGCCCTCAGTTTACAAGTATAACTTAGGGTCAACAAAATTATACACACAAAAAATTAAACAGTCATTATCTGGGCCACTCTATCCAAACCTTAGTTTCATACTGAAAAATTCACTTTGCTATTTGTAGTAACAAACACTCCTAAATAAGTTAAGCATTATACTTATTACTGAGTTTGAAATATATGTTATAAACCAATTTTACCAGAAACTAAATGTTCTTGATCCCAATGCCAAAAAAGAAATAGGAGTTCCATCAACAAAAATATACTCATTTCAAAAGAAATGTCAAACTTTTAAGTACAGGAAATAATATTAGCCAATTTCCAAGCAAAAGGTAATAAAATACTGCCTTCTTTTCACATGCCACCACTTAAACTGAGTAAAAGTCCTCATGAAAATCAACCATAAATTCTTATCAACCATGTTAATCAAGGACAGACCAAATAGCAAAATTTCAAGCTGAAAGGTGAAGATTAAAATCTCAACAATATTGTTTGATTGACCACCATGTTGTCAAGGCTAAAATCATAACAAATTTAAGGTAGATGATGCACAGAACTGATATTTAGTTCTTGGCAATGAAAAAGTTGTGGTACATGTATGCACCACAAAAATTATTGTGGAAACAAAGTAAAGCTTGGGCAAGAGGGAGCACCATGACTCAGTTCAGCACTAACTGCATGAATGTCTTCCCTAGTATACCAAGCTATACATGCTCTGATTTAATTAATGTAAACAGAGTTCAGCATACCTTTAGAAATGGTATAACAAATGGTCTGAGAGGAAAATTTGTAGCTTCTTGAAGCTGTGCATGAAATTCTTCTATGGATATTGTTGAGTTCTGAAATAAAAATAGCCAAAAGTTAACATCATGTCTCTGAACACAAACACCTATCATCCCAGGAGTACCAAAATGTGTTACAAATTATTTCCTCACCACAAGGTTCATAACAAGTCCTCGCACTCTTTCTCCAATTTCAGGAGAGATATCCGAACCAAACTGTTGCAGAGTTGTCAGGAATCGCTTCAACTTGCTAAGTTGTCGAGCACCACAGGCAGGAGGCAGCTGGGTTACACTGTTTCCTATACTGCTAGGAGACACAGGGCCTGTGGGGCTGGTATGTGCACCATTGACAGCAGGTGAAGTGGAATTATTAAGAGACCTTACATCAGCCACAACTGGAACTGAAGTAGGATTTGCATTTGGTGATGACACTGGAGGTCCCTGAGGAGGATGAGCTGCTGGGTCTGTTGGTGAATCTGGCATGCTTGCCTCTCTTAAATCTACAACATAACAAACATTATTTGATCTGTCTGCTTTTGACCACATATTAGTATAAGGAGAGGCTACATGTACATGTCCACCTTTAAAAAGGGATGCTTACTCTTAGAGGAATTTTTACATGAGTAACCAAAATGATGCGTGATTACATTGGTTCGGATTGACAGTACTATGCTTTGTGATTGCTTGAGAATACTTGAGCCACATTCTTAACCAATTCAGTGCAAAACCAACCATGCCTCCAAAACATACAGTTGCCCTTGGTCAAGGTAACAAAAATGTACTTATTTTGAGTTTTTATTGGCTTGTTGTACAGTTTTCACTCTGTGGTCCAAAAATAAACAGTGTGAACCACAAAACATTCATTCAAAAACTGTATCACTTTTTCCAAATAATAAAGATTGATATTCCAAACATAGCATACTATCATAGTGTACAAACTAACTTTTTCTATAGAGGATACATATTCTAACAACCTACCAATTTTTTTGGAAATTGTTGTCAGGTACCATTTAGATGGCTTAAATGGTCTTATACTCAGACTGCTAAGATAAAATAATATTAGAACTTGGGAATAAAAAATATGTATTAAACTCCTTGAGCCATTTTCACATCAAACAGACTAGGTATTTAATATTTACATCTCTACATTGCTGTAAACTGGTCAGTAATTCTAAATCCTCTGTTGTTCTGTCATGTTTTTTTTTTTTAATTTGTTGACCAATTTACGATATCCAATACATTTAAAATGTTCACCTGTATTACAATATAGTCGCGATATGAAACACAATATGAAAACAATAAGTCATAAAACAAAATATGACATAACAGTTTCCCTGCTGAATTGAGTAATAACAAATCATGATAGCTATTAAACATACAATATATAATTCTGACAAAGATCGACATTCCACTCAACCAACAGTCAATGAGTGAAAAAATATGCAACCTCATTAAGTTGACATGCATGTTGTTAGTAATACAGACTACAATTGACCGAGAACAATCAACAGTTGTGCTTGGTTGAACATTTAACTTCAATGGATAAGAGCATATATTGGTATGGTCTTAAGTTTATGCGTATGTTCAAAATGTTTCGGAAACAAAGTAATTTGCATTCAAACGATTGGTAAAGAAGAACTCTTGTCCAAACTTGACAACACAATTCTTAGCATTAAGCCACTCGGATATATAGCTAAAAACAATCATTGGGTAATAGTTTTCTGATTCTTCATCTGTCGCTTTTAATTTCACATTTCAGAGCTATTATGAAAATCCTTAATTATAAACGAGTTCTATAACGCCTTGTTTATCAAGCGAGTTCAATCTTAAATTATCGTTAGCCTCGAACAAAATTTCAGAGACACAAAAGATCGCATCAATGGTAGAGTCACGAAGATGACCGATTTCTTCTTCAAAGGCACAGACAAACGAAGTAAAGTATTATAAAGTCTTCATGAATAACCTTGGAAATACGCATAACTCTCTTGATAGGATTTTAATGACACAACCAGAATTACTAAAGATCTATTAAGAAACATACTGTGATTCACGGAGTTAAACTTCGAGCATGGAACTTGTGGCCATCGAAAGACACAAAATACTGTTACCGTCTCATAACCAGGTAACTGAATTCTCATTACATAGGACGAATATATAAGATGAGTAAATTGTTTTAATTTTCTCCTTAAAATTGAGCGTCACGACCAACAGGGTTTACAACAAAAAAGTTACAGCGGGCGAGCGAAATAGCTTAATATCATATCGCGACAGAGGTAGCGACACAAGGGATTTATAAAACGAGGTTTTGCGCGCTTGTAGGGCGAGAACCTTTGCGCAAATCACGATTACAGCAAACAGGAATAAGAAATTTCAAATAAGAAATTACAAGAGTTTCCAGGACATACATTGCATTATGAGATAAGCATTATAAATCGTTGTAACAAATGTTGGTAACGCTGTGTCGCTCCTCTCACCGAAAACATAAATAAATAAAAACTCATGGCTCCGTCTAAGCAACACAAGCGTAAAAAGAAATTTGATTTGCATCCCGATGTACTCACGTCTTCGAAAAGTTTCAATTCCCTTTTAAACAAATCTTAAGAGCTATGAACGATAACCAAGCGTATTCTGGAGTCCTCGTCTTAATCCATAGCTAAACAAAACAAAAGAAGACGAAGCAAAATCGGACGCCATATAAAAGAACTCCGTCATTACACTACTCAAGGTGGCGCTTTGAAAACTTCAGTATCGGAAACGCGCGTGGCGATCAAAAACAACTAGATGCGTTTGCTTTTTGTAGTGTTATAGACTACAAGCAATATATTGGCAAATACCTGAAGTTACAGCCGGCATTACAGACTTCTTGCTACACCAGAAAGGGGCTTTCGTATGACTCCCATCGAGTAACTCTGCCACCGGTGAGGCAATTAATTAGTGACGTCATGGAGTGGGTCACGTGATCTTTATGTTATGAATAAATGAATAACGCTGACGTTTGAAATATCTTGAAATTTTTTAATGCATTGTTTATAACAAAATTTTAGCACGTGCCGTACGGTCCATTAAACGAAGGAAAAAATAGCCGGTAGGAGCGGAAAAATTTTGAGAGAAAGCGCGACTAGTTGATAACAGCAAAGATTTTCCGTGGGAAAAATAATCCTCATCGGAAAACTATCACCGAATATCTTGCTTAATATTTAACTAGCTGTCACCAACACAAAAGTAATTTCAATTTTCATTTTCCTGTTTGAAAAGCGAAAACGCAAATTTATCTAAATTTCGTGCGGAAGCTGCAGGTTTGTTTTTCATTGAAATCTTTTCGTTTGCAAATGAAACTGAAGAACGAATTGGCGATCAAAATGAGAGAACGCGAAAAAACGACGAAGTCTGTTTTGACGCTCAATTCACTGAGATTTTCCCAGCCGCTTTTTTTTTCAACACAATATGCAATATCGGCGCACAGATAACACTCCTTATCAACTATCAGGTGGTATAGAGCGACTGCCAACAGCTGTGCATACGGGAATCTAGCGACTGTCGGTAGCAGGTGCACCCATACTATACCCTCGTTCCATTGTTTGCGTTTCTAAATATGGAAGTCAGGCCACCGTTGCTAAGATATACAGAGAGCCTGGGTTCCAATGCTGATGCAAAGATTTAGGGACTTCTATTGTTATGATATTTCAAAAATAAAATATTAAAATTCAGAGATAAAGTGAAATGTTGTAGATTAGAAATTATCAACGCGCTGTAAAACTCGAAAGGATTTTGTTGTCCGCCTCATCTTCGAATCGAAAAAAATTGTAGAACTAAAGAAACCATATGCTTCGAAAGCTTTTCAGTCGCTTAAGTAATAAATAATTAACCTAAGGTTCATTAAAATAGATCTCTCACACACGTGCCCTCGTAAGGAATAATGATTTTGGCCGAAATCGAACAGTGTTTCCGTGTAATACGATACCTACTTTGCGAAAAACATAATGATCGCATGACCAAAAAACACGAAAACATGCGATAATGGAAAAAAAGCACGAAAATAAAATACAAAAACTCTCAAAATAGCTTGTTTAAATTGTTTTTGTTGGATCTTTGATGAGAAGCAAAAGAATAAATCGATAACCGGTAAACCCTGCAATTCAACCTGGATTGTGATTGGCCGATTCCTGCACGTGCAAATTATTCGATTGTTGGTGTAGTTATTGTATCGTGTGTACATCTGTTTCAACCACTCACTAAGGACATTAAAGAAAACGAGCTGTTTTCTCCTGTCGAAACGTTCCACTGACAACTTATGTTTTATTTACACAAGGCCTTCTAAGTGGTGGTAAGGCGGTGAGGCGTTCAACAAGGCCAACTGTATGCCCGTAATTACTTTCCCAACGACATGAAAAAATTATACCACAAAGATACCAAACGGACGGGGGATTTAGTCGAATTTTTTTTTTCTTTTTGTTTGTGACTGGGTCACTGAGAAAAAATTCTCAGGGTGAAACAAAAATCCTACAGCGAAATTTAAATGGTTTCAGTGATATTTTAATTTCTTTCTTCCTGCAACCACCAGCGAAAAAAAAATTACGGAAAATTTATATTGACAAAATAGTGAGTACGGTATAAATGCAAGGGGAAAAATCAATGGCAAATTCATTTTAAAGATAAAAAAGAATTCGTACCGTTGTATTTGTGGTGATGCATTCCGCCGACGAATTTCATTGATCCTTCGGTGAAAAGAAAAAAAAAAGGCGTTGTATTGAAGATTCAGAGCGGCGGCTGTCTCGCCAACAAACTTGTATAGCAAAGCAAGGCGTAACGAATAGTGAAGTTTTCTCGCGCGCGCGAATCACCACCTGCACATCCGGGAACCTAAGGCATCTGTAGCAGCTGCCCACACAAAGTGCATGTCATCATTAATTAACGAAAGCTCGGCATTTGACAGATATAATTCCGTGAATTATTTACATCTGCCTCTCTGACATCAGCAAGGCGCGCCAGCGAATTAATAGATTTAGAGATCTCTGCTTTAAAATTCATGGCCGTAAAGTAAGGCTTTAGACACGTTGGCATCGAGAGCGCGAATTTCTCTTACCGGAGTTGTTATGTAGCTTTGCGCTTATGATGCGTCTAAAACTTTCAGAAATTCACACAAGCGAACGATTTTGTTGCACCTGTAGTAGAACTTTCCTTAAATGGAGAACGGCGATTTTAAGCAGACTTCGGAGGTCACATTATTAACAAAGGGTCGGGCTCTTTCTGGCTATTCTTTCCCTATTCCCCCGTTGTCGCTTTCAGCTGACGAGGCTAACAATTTTATTTCACTTTAAACCTCATCGTCAAATCTTTTAGAAAGTTTTAGGCCCTTCACAGAAATAAAAACTCAAGAATATAAATAAGCTTCGGTTTTACGATTCGATAAGAGTAATAAAATTCGGGAAAATGATTGGCGGGATTCTATGGAAAACATCTGCTCCCGTTATGCAAAACTTTAAGGCAAAGAAAACCCATC